AATGAAATACATTTAAAAATTCGTTTTTTTTTTTTTTTTTTGTCAAAAGCTGTCAGGTAAAAATCCATGATACTGTCTGTTATCTACTCTCACTAGGGAAAAATTATAATCCTCCGAGGGGAAGCAGAATTTTCCACCCCGAAATATGCCTTTTGAGATAGATTACTTTAAGCTGGTTATTTTTAAGAAACAAAAGACTCAGGAAAAACCTTCCCCTCTAACTGCCTAAAAGAATTTAGATGGAGGACCTGCTTCAGGAAGGAAGCTATTGTCATAAGTAACTATAGTTTAATATGAACTAAGTGTGATAGACAGGGAGAGACCTAGTAAGGCCCATTTGATCAAAATCTTCTCTGTGTCCCATTGTTAAAGATGGCCCAGCAAACACTTATTTACCAAACACCTGCTTTTCTATCTCCATAGAAATCATTTTTCTGACCTTTCAAGTCTCAAACCACACACACACACACATCCACACACACACACACACACACACACACACACACTCTCACACACTTCTCACCCCCAGCCCAGAAAGTGGGGCCGGGTAATACCATAGCAAGTGCCTTTTTATCGCTACCATCATCGATCCGGTCCCTAGCTGGCCTCTGTGCACTGTGGGTGGCTCCCTAGTTCACGTACTTTGAGGTCTTGGGCGGCGGCCACTTCAGCTGGTGACCAGCTTTGTTCTCCACACACCGCGTCTCTAAGCTCAGTGATGGCCCCTTAAAATTCCCAGCAGAGGCCAAAACCATACCTGAGCTCAGGCTAATAAACACACTATAAATGTCAGTCTGTCATGTATCTGAGAATATTTCTGAATATCAAGGGTGTACGTTAATATATAGGCCCATAGACACACTTAGATACACGAAACACCTGTTTTAGACAAGTAGCGTCGACACTACCACACAAATACAAAGTCGAAGTTTATGCTGAACATACACAGTCTTTTCTTCTCTTGTCCTTACTCCCTAAACAATACAGTAAAATAACTACTTACCCAGCATTTTTACGCCGTATTATTATATGTAATCTAGAGGTGATTTAAAGCACACGGGAGGATGTGGTAGGCTATATGCAAATACTAGGCCATTTTTATAAGGGACCTGGGCATCCACGGGTTTTGGTCTCTGGGGGCCCTGGAACCAACTCTCAAGGACTCGAAAGGGAGACTGTCGTGCGTTTCTGGGCATAGGACAGGAGAAGACAGAAGTGATCACTTTACAGTTTGGATATCTAATAGTTCTTTTGAAATATCTGTTTGCAACTATTTAGTGCAGATGTGCATATGCAGGTAAAAAATGCATAATTTCTAAGATATTCTGCTGAAGGCTGGTAATCTTAACAGTTCGGGGACCCAGACTGAGTCATCTGTTCATGGTTCATTCTTTTAACACGCGATCGCCTCCTCTGCGCCTCTCTGTAAGATGGGGCTGTATTATGATCTTGGAATCCAAATAATTCATTCATACAATATATAATAAAAGTCGAATAAATAGAAACATCACCATAATAGAAATAAACTCACAGGAAGTCGAAAATTAAAACGGCATGTTTCATCGAAAACACCCAGGATATCCTCTCCTGTCTAAATTATAATTAGCTTTTGTCAAGGATAAGTTTTTTTTAAAAAAGTATAATTTTACTTTATTGACCATAAATCTCATCTTTCTGAATTAATTTTCTACCCTGTAATTTCCTTTCTCACTCTCTAGAGAAAAAAGAATTGCTTCTGTCCACCATGGTTTAAACCTGTGCTGTGCTACCTTTAAACGTACTATTTGTACTGTTCACTATAACTCAATAACACGTCAGCTCTGTCCTAAATGAACTGCCGGGGCCCCATAACCCGAGGGTCTAGTTGTCCATGTGCTATGACAGTCTTTATATTCCTGGTTTCCTGTCTTTATGTGAACACTGCAAAAGGGTTCATGATTTTCCATAGGCGTTTTATAGAGGAGGCAAGTCATTTTGACAAGGTTAAGACACCACTCAAGGTCACAGAGCTCCTAGGCATCTGCCGGGACTCGGGACAGAGGCCGTGCTAGGCGAAGTCTGTGCCATGTGGTTCCAGGCTCTGTGGCTTTCCCTCTCTGCCCCCTGGATGAGGTCATTTCACCGCTAACAACAATAGCAGCTAACATTTATTGAGTAGTCGAAAAGTACCAGACACGTATATTTTTAAATCTCTAACAACCTGTGATTAAGGCATTGAGATTTAGAGAAGGAAAGTCATTTGCCAAAGATTATATAATAAACCGCGGGACTCCCGTCTAGGCTCTGTTTTCTGCATTCTGAACTCAAACTATAAACAAATAATTGGTCCACAGCCACGCCACCCTGAACGCGTCCGATCTCATCCGTTCTCGGAAGCTAAGCAGGGTCGGGCCTGGTTAGTACTTGGATGGGAGACCCCCTAGAAAGACCAGGTGCTGTAGGTGTAGAAAATAAAAAAATAAGGGATTGTAAGCGACGAGGTCCTTGCAATCTGTGAGGCCAACCAAGGGTTGCCTCCTCTAAAAAAATAAATGAATAAAATAAATACTTGCCCTCAATATGTGCTTTGCTCAATCTGAGGCCTTGAGGGTGGGGTGAGTGGAGGTGGCGATGACAGAGTTCGTGTTGTTTTATTTACTTTCATAATTTGGAAGGTCGGATATTTCCTTTAAACTTCCACAAAAGTCATAAAACTGAAACGATGATACTTCGCATATTTACGTTCTAAAATGATTTCAGGAAGAATCACCCCAGGTGACACGGATACCTTGACTTACAGGCGATTCTGACTTTGCTTCCAGCATGCGCTTTTATCAGGATTTCCCCAAACGTGCCCATAGCGGGAATTCCTAGCTGGGTGAGTTTAATTCAGGAAAGACAGGAAAATAGGCTAAGGCGGCGAGTTGGCTCCGAACATGGGTAAATGACCTGCTTGTCGCCTTGCGACTTTTCCTTCCTGGGTACCCAGTATGTAAATGCACGCCGTTGGCCATGGCTAGGCGTAACACCCAGTCCCTCACCGCACAATACTTCTTCAAATTTATTATTGTTAAATCATGCAGGAAAATGGATGATTATTGTATTTATTTGAAGAAGAATAACGGACCTGCTGTTAAAAATTTAACTTCACTCAGTGCCAGTCAACCATTAGGGGCGAAAGAAGCATTTATTTTATGATCAAACGAATGAAGGTAGTCCGAGTGCTAAGTGTCTTGTGCTCATTCCTTACACACAGAGTCAGAGTCAGCTGTCTCACGGGTGTTCAGCCGGAAGTCGGTGACAGGGCTGGGCTACCAGACTCTTACCTGAACAGGGTCTGCACGTTCACGATCGTCTTGGCGTCGGCCATGTAGTCTTCCTCGGCGCTCATGGTGCTCTCCTTGTCCACCACCACCATGTTGGCAGCAAAAGTCACCCCACACCTGAGCAAGTCATCTAGGCTTTGATAGAAATTGACAGAGAAAAAGGGACCTTCAGTAAATCGCAGTGCTAGGGCTGGTGCTAAAGCTTGCTTCCTCGCGATCTTTTACGATCCTGTACTTTTTATGCTCCCCCACCCCCCATGCTTGTAAAGGCTGCCCTTCCAGGTGGCTTTGATGAAGTGCACTAGTAGGCGTGAATGGAGACGATCACATAATCTCTACTGATACAAAATAATTTGTATTTTTGGACTCTTTATGTTTCATTATCCTGCAGCTGTTTTCGAAGCATATGCGTTAAGAATCTTAACTAATATTAATTATATAAATAAAACACCCATTTTGCCATCAAATAGAAATAGAATGTGTTAGAACCTTGTTTTTAACAGCACAGTATTTCAAAGACATGCTTACGATTTTTTTTTTTAATCTCTAAGGTGCTTTTGGTAAGAATAGATATAAATACTTATATTAATTTAGGTGGTCATGCCTAATAGAAACATAAAACTGCAAAATGTTTATTTTTACATTTGTATTATTTGTGTAAAGCTACATGTTATAGATGGGTTCTACACAGCCAAGAGCATGTAAAATATCTAAATATCGGTGGTATTCCAGCCTACCGTTTCTCCAGCCTACAGTTTTTGAGCAAGTGATTGAATAACCTGATTTCTTTGGTTGTATGAAATAATTGAACTGAACTAGGATGCACATTCCCCTGTCACCGATAAACACATTACCTAGCATTGAATTAAAAGAAAATGTTACCGTTGAAGCTGAAATAAGGAAGCTATTATCTCACTGCCTCTGCTTCATATGAACTAGAAAAATGGGACTGAATTGCATGAGACTAAATTCGAATGAGTGTGAGAATGTTTTAGAGTTGACTGATGACAGATAAGAAGAATCAGCCTAATCGATTTCCACGTCTGATTTAAAATAGGAACGTAAAGAATAGTAGTTCCTTTTGGATCCTTAAACTGGAGAGTCAGCTCCCTGAGATCTTCCCCTGGTGTATGATGATGGTGGGATCAGCCAATGTCACATGGAAAGGCAGGAGGCGGGAGTTCTTTAAGAGGCGAGAGAGTATTACCAAAGCTTCGAGTCCGAGATCCCCAGGAATAGTCCAGAAAAACTATTTCACATGAATCAGGATCAATGTTCTGTGATAGAGTTTAGGGCTAGAACTGTGAAAACAGAATGTTATTCCAAATAAATTTCCTATGGTGAGAGGAGTCAGGACCGTGGCATCCAATCAACCTGCTGACTAAGTTTGAATCCCTGGGAATACTTTACTTGGGTGTTCCTTTTACCTAGGAAATTCATCATAATTGTTCTCAAACTATTAAAATACACTTTGAAGAAGGAAAGAACTAGGTGGAAAGTGAAAGTGATATGGGCCCTAATGGACCATAGAATTGATGCCTAAGTCATATGCTTTCAATCCACCTTATTATAATTTTAATTAACTTTCTCATATTACAGTTCTTAAAATCTTTTTTGCCCCATGAAAAATGATATCTCTATTGTAAATATCTAGATAGGAGGAGGGAAAGATAAGGTGGTAGAAGGTAAGCCTGACTGGAAGAAAGATAAAGAGATAGAAATTATGATGGGAAAGATGAATATTTCATCCGCAACAAATCAATGAAGTTGAAACTTGACAAAAATTCCACTGTGAGAGCACTTGTGCTAAATTGCTAATCCCTAGACCTAAATGTATCAGTTAATTCCATACTCAAAATGCTGGCTGTTGTAGTGTACACATAATCATGGCAGTTGATTTTAGTAATTATTATTAAATGAGTTAAAATCAATAGAAAATAAAAAAAATTTGGAAGGGCATTTACGAACCATCTAAAAACATTTCCGTTCTTTGTGTTTTAACTTTAAATTATTTTATATTCATTTAATATCGCATTGCATTCTTTTTTCCTTTTTTTTTTTCCATTAGGCTGCTACTTTATTCTTATAACTCCTGTCTATCACACTTTCTCCCCGCTCACTCTTCTGCCTACAAGGCATCTTCAGCCTGGTTGCTTTACACAGTTTGGCCACTAGAGGGCCGCCTAAGAAAACAGTAAATGAAAAAAAAAAGTTACAGATAATCTAATTGGCAATGCCTCCCTTTCTACCCTTTTCAAGAACTAGAATGTGAATGTATGAGAATAAGGAAGTGTTTGTGTGCTCTAATTCATTTGAAGAGTTTTTCGTTTGTTTGTTTTTAGGGAGAATTTCGAGCAGAAACAAAAAAGGACAGTAGTATCATGAACCTCCATGACCCAAATCTGTTTCATCTCTAATCCTAGGAATTTATTCTTTCTTTTAAATATACTGTTCTAATGAATTTTAATTGAATACTGTCAACGTATTTGTATTTTAATACTAATGCGTTGCACATATTTGACCTTTTAATGAACAAAAGTTTAGAAATTATAGACTCTGATAGATGTTACTAGAATAAAACGATCTTTTAAGGAAATGCTCCAATTTATAACTCCGACTTCACATGAGCGTTTCTGAATTATTTGGAAGGTTTCCAGAAGTTATAATGGCATCAACGAACGCATCACCGTGCCGAACCCTTTCGTGTTCTCTCCCGTGATGCCAACAGGAATAATGGTATTGCCGTAGATGACAGAAAACCGAAACAGCTTTAGAAACTGGACAGAATTTACAGAACCGGCATGCAGCAGAATTCGCTCGAATTCAACAACAGATTACTACTCAGAAAGTTTGAATACAAGATGTAGAACACGAGAACATATGCTCTACATGCAAAATACATCATCTTTGCAATGCTACCATGGCAAATGACACTCAGCATGCAACACGGGGCACAGCACAGGACAAACCACAAGACATCACACTAGTTAGTGTGCCAAAGACTTTGTCACCTACTTGTCAATAGAGCCCACCATGTAGTAAACCATTGGAAACCAACAGATTGCATCCAGAAAATGCATATCTGGCCTGCGTAGCAGATGGGTTACAAAATGAAACACAATGTCACAACAGTGGCAGCTCTTCTAGGGAAAGGAAGTCACTTGACTTAGTTTGCATTTCCAAAACGAAACAACATCGACAAGATTAACTTTAGGTGTTTTTTTTTTTTCTTAACATTAATTAGAAAATGACATTCGTACTTGTTATGAATAATGCAGGGCACCCAGAATTATAAAAAGTCGTACTCCTGCTTTCTAAATCAGAAACATTATGGCATTAATCTACAAAAATATTGAATCGATATCCTGAGTTATGACTAAAAAGTCTTATCAGTGAGTTTAAAAATTATTTATGCAGAGAAGGCCTTGTAAAATGAAGAACTAATAATTTTTTCTTATGTGACTCAAAGCGTAGGAAACTAAATTAGCCTCCTATTCAGAGCCAATTTCTCTAAGGGATATACAGAATTCCAACACGTCCCTTAGCATAGCAACATGTCGATAAATAAATATAGTAGATGTAATCCTGCAATATATGTATTATAGAAAATTAAGCTAATTGACCTTTTAAATGATGGATCTCAATATCTATTGTTGAGTAAATATTTATTATAACCAGAATCTTACATGCAGATTTGGGGAAAGATTCATAACCTAGAAGCTTCTTGAAAAATCACTTAACCTGTTGAATTTATTTTCATGCATCGATTCACTCAGCACATATGTATCCAAAACCTTTCATAAAATAGACATTTTAATGTACTCAGTCATAGGCAGAAACAAATATCATGTTATCTTGTACTATAAAAAAATCTAGATTTTTGGAGCACATGTACGAAAACACACATTTACGATCTGTATCTGAAAAAAATAAACAATGGGTTGCACTCAGAAGGCAGAACTGGAGATCATGTCACAGGGGTGACATGTAAGTTAGACGTTGAAGGGTGAGTAGGAGTTTGCGCAGTGAACAAGGACAGGGCAAGCCCAGGCCAAGGGCAGTGCAGGGCCTGCCGCGCCCCGGGTGCTTGTCCCAGCTGCAGGAAGCCGCCCCCTCCCAGACTTACTTTCTTCTGACGGATCGTCCTCTATCCCTTCACACTCTAAAGGAAAAGAAAGCTCAACACCTTGAAGCATAGAAATAAATCTTACAAAGGTTGCCACTGTTGTTACGTTGATTAAAAGTTCCATCATTTTAAATGGCCTCGCGTTATTACATATTACAAAGGTACCCTAATTCACGTTTTAAATCCTCAATTATTCAGTGTATAAGTTACTTTCACTTTTATGCTATCAAAGTTACAAGTTATTTCCAATATCTTGTTATTATAAATAATACTTGTATGGACAGCTTTAGATGGCTTTTTTCTTTCTAGCATTAGTTTTTGACTTACCTCAAAACATTCATAGAAGGGATATGAGTGAATCACAGGTTATAACATATATTTTGATAGCCTGTGATTATGTTGTTTTCAAAAAATGTAATAACGATACACACTTCCAGTAGCAGCCGTGGTAGTGCCATCTAGTTCTCCTATTTCTGGGCACTGCTCTGCTTCTTAAAATTAAAGGACCATTCTAACGGCAGACTCAGGACCCTCTGTGTGTCTCTTACCTTACCTGGTGATCGTAGAAACACCTGTGAGGACGCAAGTACCACAAGCCTTGAGCAGCACTAAGATCTTGTGGTGGTTTGAAAAATCCCTTTGCCTGTGTCCTTTTTGGTTATTATTTTGTCTTAGCTCCCTTTGCCCCTGTGTAGTTCCAGTCAGTTAAAGTGAGTAGCTTAGTAACTTATGTGAAACGGTTGGGTCCATAATTCTTTATTATTAATTGCAAATACATACCCTGGCTGGAATAGCCTACTTCTTGTCTGACTCGTTCTTTTAAATTCAGGTCATTTCAGTTTCTTTATGCTGTCTTCTCTGACCATCTATCTACTGTGACATCTTCTAAACTCTTCCAACAGTATTTAATATTATTTAGTAATTCATTTAATAAAGATACTGAAAATCTGTGTAATAAGAAGTACTAAGGTCATTGGGGACAAAGGAAGTCCTTATGTTACGCCACCCTCTGCTAAATTTAAAACTGAAAATGATGACTGGCCTTTGTATTTTGTTCGTTGTCTGGCAGGAACCATGAAAGGCACTTGGACTTCAAAATTATTGCCTTGTTTTAGAAAACGCATGAATTTTAGTCACAATTTGTTTTGTTAAGCTTTGATTTCTTCTGACACTGGGTCTGAGTTTCTGCTCCCCCAACCCTACCCTGAGTTTATGTCCTCTTCTCCTGGATGCCAAAATAGTCACTGAGTCATGGTACCTGAAAATCCATCAACTGAAACCTCTAGAGGTGTGCCCAGTTTTTAGAATGGATTATCATCGTGATAAAGATGCTAAAAAAGATGCGTCAATGAATACTTGACATTGATGTGTTCAGAATCGACAATGTCATGAAGAAATAATAT